GGTCAAGGAACAAATCATAGCAATAATCAACAATTTCATAAAGATAAAGACAACAATGACATAATGTAATATTATGTGTGGGAAGGCAGCCAAAGCAATACTCAAGGGAAAATGTATGTTTCTAAATGCAGAGAAAGAAAGTGGGAGGGAGGGGACAGAGAGAAAGAGAGAGAGCTTGATGAATTGCTCATGCATCTTAAAAAAAAAAAACTAGAAAAAAAATTAATCACCAATTAAGCCAAAATAGAATCCTTGAAAATCAAAGGAGAGATTAATAAAATTGAAAGTTAAAAAATCCATTGAACTAATAAACAATACTAGGACATTTTTAAAAACAATAAAATTGATAAATCATTGGCTAATTTAAGAAAGAATAAAAACAAATTACCAGAATCAAAAATGAAAATGGCCAATTTACAACCAATGAAACTGAAATAAAAGTAATAATTAGGAACTATTTTTTCCAATATAACCGACAGTCCAAATGAAATAGCTAAATATTTACAAAAATATAAATTGTCCAGATTAACAGAACAAGAAATAGAATACTTAAATAACTCTAGCTTAGATAAAGAAATTGAACAAGCCATAAACAAACTCTCTAAGGAAAAAAACCCATGGACTAGATGGATTTACAAGCAAATTCCACCAAACCTTTTAAGTACATTTAATTCTAATACTTCATAGACTGTTTAAAAAAAATAGGTCAAGAAAGAAACCTACCAAATTCCTTCTGTGACACAATTACGGTTTTTATGCCTAAACCAGGAAGAGCTAAAACAGAAGGGGGGAAAAAACTATAGACCAATTCTCCTAATGAATATTGATGCAAAAATTTTTTTAAATAAAATACTAGAAGGAGGATTACAGTAGTATATCACAAAGATCATACATTACGACCAGGCTGGATTTATATCAGGAATGCAAAGTTGATTCAATATTAAGAAAACTATAAGTGTAATTGAACATAAAGGAAATAAATGAAAAAAAAAGTGAAGGAAGTGAGTTTAGCAGTGCCAAATCTCAGACTATACTACAAAGCTATAATCATCAAAAAAAAAAAATGGGACTGGATAAGAAATAGAATGGTTGACCAATGGAAGAGATTAGGTACATAATATGTAGAAGCAAAGGAGCACAATAATCTAGTGTTTAATAAATCCAAAGATCTCAGCTTTTTGGACTAAAAACTCATTATTTGACCAAAACACTGGAAAACTAGAAAATAGTCTAGCAGAATCTAGGTGTACCAACAAAACCAATGCAACTAAAATTAGAAGAAAAGCAGAAAACTGATAGGAAATCTTTGTAGCAAGTTTTTCTGATTAAGTTCTCATTTCTAAAATATATAGGGAACTGAGCCAAATTTATAAGAATAAGAGCCATTCCTAAATTGATGAATTGTCAAGGGACATAAACAGAAAATATCAGAGGAAGAAATCCAAACAATCAATAGTCATATGAAAAAATGCTCTAAATCAGTAATAGAGAAATACACATTAAAACAACTCTAAAGTACCACCTCATACCAATCAGATTGGCTAAGGTGACAAAAAAGGAAAATGGCAGCTACTAGAGGGGATGTTGGAAAATAGGTACATTAATACGCTATTGGTTTAGCTATGAGCTAGCCCAACCATTCTGGAAAGCAGTTTGGAGCTATACGCCAAAGTCTATTGAATTTTTCATATCTCTTCACTCATCAGTACCACTACTGGGTTTACATCCCAAGAAGATCAAAGAAAGAAGAAAAAGACTCATCTGTACCTAATTTATACATACACACACACACACACACACACACACACACACACACACACACACACAAATGCTCTTTTTGTGGTAACAAAGAATTGAAAACAGAGGATACCCATCAGTTGGAGAATGGCTAAATAAGTTATAGTGTATGAATGTCATGGAACACAACTGTGCTATAATAAACGATGAAGAGGATGGTTTTAGAAAAACCAATGAAGACTTCTATGAACTAATGCAAAGTGAAGTGAGCAAAAACCAAGAGAACAGTTTATACAGAACAGCAGTATTTGTAAATATTGTAAAAAACTGTGAAAGACTTAGTAACTGATCAACACAATGACCCACCACAATTCCAGAGAACTCATGATGAAAAGAATTGTCCATCTCCAGATATAGAACCAATAGGCTCAGAGTACAAATTACAGCATTCTTTTTTCTTGCCTTGATTTTGGAACATATCTAATACAAAAATTTGTTTTGCGTGACTTCGTATTTGTGATGGGTTTTGCATTTCTTACCTTCTCAGCGGCTACAGAGGAGATAGGGGAAGGGAAGATTTTGGTACTGAAAATAAAATAAAATTGAATTTAGGAAAAAAAAAAGGAAAAAGAAAATAGTTTTGACCTCGTGGACCCATTGAAAGGGTCTTAAGGGCCCCTGGTGGTTCTCAGACCACACTTTGAGAACTGTTGGTAAAGGAACTCCTATGTGAGAAATTTAGCTGTACCAAAGCAGGTTGAGTGATGCTGTCAGGCGTTTTTTAATGTCCTCCCTCCAAAACAATCAAAGAACCACATGGTTCACTGTTAGTTACAGAACATAAAAATAATACTCCACAGTTTCTCCAAGGCACTCCCTTATGTATCATCACAATTCTCCTAGAGGAAGCAAGCTCCCTAGAGTCCTCCATGTGAAGAGGTTACATCAACTGAGCAAAATGATGGGGTCCCTTTTTCACATTACAAAAGATTTAGGGATTTCATATATAGAGATGTAATACTTAAGTGTCACTGTGGAGTACAAGGGGTCTGTGTTCTTTCGCCTAACTAAAAAGGACTCAGTTGAAATCCTCACAGACCATCCTACTTGACTGACTCAGAGGCAAGACTTTTCTGCTAGGCTTTCCCGTTATCTCCCCCTCCCTTTATGTACAAAGGGCACCCAGCATCTAGGACTTTATTCACACACACCCTCAACTGAACATGGTTTCAAGTCCTCTCATTTTTCTACAGGAAATCTAAGTGAGCCTCGAATTCAAGTTATAGGGTTGTATCTGGGAGAGTTATAGGATCATTTGTAAAACTAAATTGAGACTTGAAAGCCCCCATGGAAGACCTTTTCTTCCCTTGCCAGTTAGTGCCATAGTCAATACAATATAGCTCCGGAGGCTATTCCTCCTTTTTGCCACCCCTCCCCACAGAGCTCCAGTAACACCACACCCACAGACAATAGAAACAAACTCACTTAATAAAAAGGGAATCAGGTTTACAAAATATCATCACCCTTGGTAGGTATGAAAATAGGACACTGTTGTGCAGTTTTCAACTTAAATGGAAGTGGAAGGAGAGAGGAAGAGAGTCCACTGTTGATTTGGCCCTTGCATCGGGTGGCTTGCTGCTCACCTGATGGCCTGCCATTGACAATAAAGTCTGCTCCCCCGGGAAGAGTCTGGTTGCTTCCCCTCCCCCCTGTTCCCCAAATGAAAAGTCTCTGCCATTCTTTTATAGTCCCCATGGCTGTGTCTCCCACTTTTCTTCTCCTTTTGATGGTATATCCCTGTCTCAAGCTTTAAGTGCTGTCAGTATCCTCTTGCCCAGCCTCCTCATCTCTCCCACTAGAAGCTTGTAGAAAGAGTCCCAATGAAATATGAATAACCATTCTTAGGAAAGGAGGTAAGATGGAAAACACAGAAGAGTGATGTTGGTTTTTTACCACATTTTACAGATTTAGAAGTATTCATCCCTGTTTTATATGCAACAGCCACTTATACAAAAGTTTAGCAAAGATGCTAAATTTTACTATCCTATTTCTACTTCCCTCTTGATGTTACATGCTACTTTCTTCAAAATGAGACTACAGACATTTAAAAATATATATATTTCAACTTTAAATCTTTAGCCAAACTTATGTGTAGTTGCATATTATATTTCATCTGGGAATATCCTAAAGTTCTGAGGCTAACTTTAAAGAAAAAATTTTTTTACTAGCTTTAAGAAATATATTCACCTTTTGGTCACATTTTCAATTCATAGTATGCGGATAAGCCACTTTACTGCAAGTCTCCAATTGACATTTCCTTTGTATGCAAATACTGAAATGATTTTATTTAATAAAAAGGTACATCTCCTCTGTGGATTTTGAATTTCTCTTATTAAATATTTATATTTTTCAAATGTCTTTATTTAATTGAGTGAGGTTCTTGGTGCCATTTCAAAATAACCTCAGCTGGTAGGTGTAATGACTTATGAAAGATCTGACCTTTAGTATTTTAAAGTTCTATTCATCTGTATATTTCTTCTGTGTTCATTTAGTCGTAATTTGTATGCCTTTATGCAATGTGACTTAATGGGTATATGTTTTTGGCACAGCATTTATTAACACAAAGAAAATATTTATAGGTACTTATTACTCTCCCCTATAGAGTTTCTTTTTGGTTATTTTTAACTCTGCCTGCATCTCAGGTATGAAAATGAGAAAATGCTTTATATATGGCTCACCCATGTTTGCACAGTCCTGTTTCATACTCATTAAGTATTAGCAGAATAAACCCTAGTTCTACTAAATTCCAGTCTAAGGCTCAGTCCTCTACTTCTCACTGCCTTGCATTTAGAAAGTTTGTCTTTTTTTTTTTTACTTATGTAGAAATACTTTGTTTTCCAATTCTTTGCTATTCCTTTTAGAGAAAATCAAGTGTAAAGTTTATAGTGATATTGCTAAATTGACATATGGTGTTATATTTTCATATGTTTGGGTTGTCAAGGTAGATAATCATTTGCCTAACATGTCTTAAGCAACATTCTGGAAGAAGAAATAAGGAATGGAACAGATAATGTAGTTGGAGATTTATTCTAATATTGTGATTTAATGATAATTTTCTTTATTGAAAAATATAAACACATGTTAATGTTCATGTATTGAAGTGATTTTGATGTTTAGAAAAATAGGAATTTTAAATGGGTCATTCATAATTTATCTTTCAAGTTTCAGTTAGAACTAATTACTGCCCCTCCTTGTTTTCATAGTTTACACAAATCGTTATCCCAAGAAGAAAGTCTAAAGGATCAATTCAACTGTACTCTTAGTACCTATGAGGATGCCTTAAAAAACAGAGAGGATATTGTTTCCATCACTCATCAACAAAATGAGGAACTGGCCATCCAGCTGCAGCAAGCCTTGACAGAGAGAGCAAACATGGAATTAAAGCTTCAGCAAGCTTTAAAGGCCTCCCAAGAGGCCAATGAAAAAGTTCAAAAGTAAGTAAAATGATTTTGCTTTTTTAAAAATGCTGTCATTTGGCAGTCAGACAAGGTATTCTTCATGCTGTTTGCCTTTTTAAAAAAAAAAAAGGTAGAATGGGCCAAATGGTCAACTTTCCTAGTTTATATCTTTTGTCCATTCGTAGTTTTAAAATATTTTCTTGGGATCCCTTTGGAAACCATCACTACTATTTAGAACAAGGCATCTTGTAATAATATTATCATTCATCATAATAATAACATTTATATAGCACATTAAGGTTTGAAAAGTTCTTTAAAAATATGATCTTATTTTATCCTCACAACAGCCTTAGGAGGTAGGTACTATTATTGTTCCCATATTACACATGAGGAAACTGAGGCATGGAAAGGTTAAGTTATTTACCCAGGGTCACATAGCTAGTAAGTGTCTGAGTCTTAATTTGAACTCAGCCATCCTGCCTCTAGGTCCAGCACTCTATCCACTCAACTACCTGGGTAGAAAAGCAACTCAACTTCGTCAGTAGGCCTAGAAACACCTTATAGGATTATTTAACCCTTTACCACCCCAGCTTATAATGGAAGAGCCAACAGTCAAAAGTGTTTTTGTTTTGTTTTTGTTTTTTACTCTCTTGGCTTAGAGGTGAATTTGATGAAGCCAAGCTGATTTATGACTTTGCAGTATGTTATATGAACCTTTGAAAGCAGGTAGACTGGTACTAATTAAAATTGTGTTGTTCTGTTAAGATATGAAACACTTAGTTGCAAACATGTTAAATCCACCTTTTTACACATAAAACTGCATTTGTTTGCTTGAGATAATTTTCTTTACATTTATATTTTAAACAAAATAATTTCATAGTCCTTCAATCTTAGCAAAAACTAATGTAACAGAAGGATGACACTTTCTAATTGAAATATCTTTAACAACAGGAGATTTTTTTCAGAAGCTGAAAGATAATGAAACTTAACTGATCCTTTTTTATATGCCACTAATATCATCACATTAACAAACTGTAAAAGGACAAATCACTTTAACTCCCAAGGCATACTTGGTTTCCTGGATGATTTCTTCATTTTTACATTATTAATGAGTAATACTAATTAACTGTAAGATTTTTGCTTTCTTATTTATTAGAGTTTAAGCCATCCATGAGTCTAAATTATCCATTTGTATCTGTGCTTATCATGCTTCTCTGTAATTCGTATTTTTCTTATGACCCTAGATCCAGGCAAGCTGGCCATCTAGACATATAAAGCAGGCTTAGGCACTATATGCTTCCTTAATCTCTTCTACTAGGTTGCCTTGAGCTGTCTGATTTGTGTTTAAGTGTTGGAAGTGTTTTTCAAATTTAAAGGTTAAGTTCATCAACCACAGAGCCAGAAAGCCCTGAGATCCATTCATTAAGGGTAGGTGACTGTGAAAGCTCTGTTTCAGATTTCCAAAAATATCAATGAGTTGATCAAAAGTAAAATAACTTACAAATACATAAGTGTGTTGAGAGGGCAATGTAAATAGTGCTAGAATTTACCTTAGTCCAGGACTGGAATTGGCTATTGTTTCACAATTTATGCATTATGTAGCTTTAGATGCTCAGTTATTGCAAATAAATAAGCAACATAAAAAGGGAAAGTTTACAAATGAAGACATATATAAATAATATGAAGAAGAATATTTGTATGAATACAATTCTTATTAACAAAGGAAAGGGTTCAGATTTTATCACATCTCTATTGAATGTAGTTTGAAAGATTAGAATAGAAATTAAATACAAATGAATGAAATAGAACAAATTAAAGGAATTTGAGAAACTCTGTGCCACAGTGGAAAGAGAGAAGACTACACCTAGAGTTAGGAAACCTAGATTTGAATCCTTACTCTAACAGAGAGCAGCTCTGTGAGCCTGGAAAAATCACTTCATTTCTTTGACCCTCACATTCCTCATCTGTAAAATGGAGATGATTATGCACTACCTCACTACCAGCGTGGTTATTAGGAGAGTATTTTGTGTACCTTAAAGTTCTATATAAACGTGAGCTATTAAATACACTCAGACAATAGAATGTTTTGTTTAATCTTCAGGGTTTTGGTTTTTTTTAATTTTCTTTTTTGTTTGTCTATTTTTGGTTAGGCAATGGGGGTTAAGTGACTTGCCCAGGGTCACATTTTTTTTATTTTCTTAAAGAAATGTGCATAACCCCCAAATTATATTGTGTGCATCATAATTGTATTAGCTGCAATAGGTTGTTTTTAATTTATTCTGATTACTTGCAGTCTAATCTAACTTAAATAACTAAATGTCTTTCTTAACAACAGTCAGTTATTGATCACTTTTAATTGCCATATGCTGACCAAACTAAGCTTTGGATTTGTTGTTAATTTGTGTTGTTGTTGTTCAGTCAGTTTTTAGTTGTGTCTGACACTTTGTGACCCAATTTGGCATTTTCTTAGCAAAGATACTGGTGTGGTTTATTATTTCATTCTCCAGCTCATTTTACAGAAGAGAAAACTGAGACAAACAAGGTTAAGTGACGTGCCCAGCATTACAAGCTAGTACATGTCTAAGGTCAGATTTGAACTCACGAAGATAAGTCTTCCTGATTCCAGGCCTCAGAACTCTTATCTGCTGCTCCACCTAGCTGCCTAATGTGTACTTCCCTAGATAAGTTGGGTGTGCCTGCTTCACCAATTTTTATAAGATGGTTATTCTGGAACCCTATTTTAAAGACCATATTAGGAAGAATTAGTGTCCATCATATATCATTCAACAAATACTGAGCGCCTACCATGTGTAAGGCATTGTGCTTGGCGCCATAGTAATACTTACAAAGCAACTACTTTACCATGTCATTGTACTAGATGCTATTGCGTAAAAATAATTTGAAAGGGAATAATGTATTCCCTTCCAAATAGGAGCTTACATTCCAAAGTTAGAGAACATAGGTAAGAGAGGTGACAAGGAAACATGTACTAGCCTCGCTTTCAAAGAAGAAACTTTACATCTTTTATTGAGTTTGAGTTTAAATTATGTAAAGGCAAGCTAAGAATAATATTATTTGATTTAGTTGGAAATGAGCAATGAGCTGGGGAACAACATGAAATAGGACTAGAATGTACAGAAAATATTCAGACTGGGCTCAATTTTTATTTAGTATTTGATTGCCAGTTTTACCCCAAAAACAACTTACTATCTTCATAGGAAGCTATGACATTTTAACTAACTCTGCCCCCCTCCCCATCCATTCCTTTCCATTCCACTATTCTTCAGGCTCTTTCATCGAGCTCCCCTTTGACCTCTGCCCCTCGAGCATTCACCAGCTTTTCTCTTCTAATCTGTCAACTTCCTTTATGAGCTGTAATCTAATTACACATAAAAACTGTGGAAACTTTTGTGAATATAGACAAATCTCCTTGTCTTTAATAATCATAAAATTTTGAATTTACATAATGATTTTCCCCCAGAGAGCCCAAAGCGTTATATATGTATATACATATATATGCATATATGTTCTCATTTTTTCTTTACCATATACCTGGAAGGAGAAATTCTGCACAATTGTTATTATCCACATCAGCATCAGTCTTATGGGCAGATAGAATGATCATTCATTCAATTGATGTGGTATCTTAGGAAGAGTGCCAAAAAGGGTCTGCTGTTCAAAAATGCCTCCCTAATCAAGCATAACGCCTGAAATTATCTTGAGTTAAACACTCCAAATAATCCTGTTTTTAAAAGCACATATACTTGGTAGAATAGCACATTCAGTCACTAACTTGTTAGTATGACTGAGTTCCTCCTCCCCCTACCCAACCTCCCGCCCCACCCATCATTCTCCTCTGTTATTGAAGGAATGACTTTAACACCTTTCCCACGAGAATTATTATGAGAGTACTAGTATTTTAGGTGTTAGGTAAGGGGAAAGAATGAATATTGAAAGGTAAGAGAAAGAAGCAATAAAGGGTCTATAAGAGAAACTAATGTTCAAAATTTTACCTAAGGCCATGCCTGATCCTTATTTTACTGATGGGGAATAGTCACAAAATTAATTAATTATTTGTAGAGGAACATATAGGGATACAAATCCAGATCTCCCAAATTATATTTGCTAATTGGCAAGGAATATGATCATTTGTTTATTTCTGTATGTGACTCCTTGTGGCCTGAAGCAGTTGTTTTCTAAATGATTTTTATGTATCTATCTATTTGTTTTTCTTTCCTCCTGTTTTAAGTATTGAAATTACATAAGGCTATAAGACACTATATAGCCAAGTTAACAAAGCTATTTTAATATGTATTAACAAATAGAATTATAGATACAAAGAGACTTTAAGGATCATATGTGTCCATCTCTCTCTTTGTTGTTAGGATGGTACCTAAACCATCATAAAGAAAGACCTTTCTGGTTGTTAAAACAAAACAAAACAAAACAAAAAATCTCCCAGAACGGAAATTACCAAGTTCCTTTGATAATGGTTTAAAACTAGCTACAAATCTCATATTTACAAAATTCTGCAACTTAGTAACATTTCCTCTTTATCTGATCTCAATGCATATGGAAAAGACTGTCTCCATCCATCATACAATATTGATTCATGTTTGGAGACATTTTTTAATTCTTCATTTGTAAACTAAATAGTCCCAAAGGTTTTAATCTTCCTCACAAGTCCTAGTTTAATTAGATCTTTGGTAACTTCACTAAATCCTTTTTGGAGTAAAGTCACTGTTACAGTAGAACACTTTTAGTATGAGCTATATTATCATTGATCAGAATTAAATTATGTAAATAAAGACCTTTTTTCTTTTTTCTTTTTTTTTTTCTGAAGTATAGATACATTTCAAATAGAGCAATCCAAACAGAGTATACAAGGTTTTTCACATCTGGTCATTTTTTTTTCCATTTTGAGGAAAAGTCATTTAAAATCTACATTAGTTTTTAGCATTTTAAAATTTTAAAACACCAAATAAATACCTTCAAGACTACAAAGAATATCAAAGGCCAGTACAAATTCTTTCAAT